GTTGAAATTTTTTAAAAATTATTATTATTTTTTTCCTAATGGCACTCATAGGTGTTTTGTAATGTACATAATGTTTTAATGTTTAAGAATAAAGCATAACTAAAATATTAATAATATAATTTATGTCACCAAATGCTGAAATTCAATAACATTCTGATTTTAATTTTTTTTCTTTCTGAGTGTTTCTGGCCATCCCTTATATTAAAGTCTATGTCTACTTTGTTGAAGTCTTGCTAATATATTAATCAAAATTGTGATATTTCGGCAGCAATGTGACTGCAAAATTACATGCCTTAAGTTATTATATACAAAAAAGAAAAATAAGTACAGTGCTAAAAAAAAACAACAGAAGGATCATCCTGAATAACTTTTGATCTAATGATCGGATCTTCACGTTCTAGGACTCAAACTTAATCGTTCGAGGATGTGACCTCAAATATGCTAATTATTTTGTGCAGACGATTATTCAAGTTACGAAATCAGACACAAAAACGTACTTTCTTTCAATAAACATACTTTTCCTCTCGACAGAATCGGGTATCTGATCCATAATATTTAGGGGAGGGGGTAGTTGTAATCTGGGATATATGGTGTGGAATATAGTTTATATATGTCTATAATACTTTAATATTATCTTAATCGATTTCTTTGACCAAATATTACTGGAAAATTGTAAAAATAAAGAAAGTGAGGCATAATAAATTTTTGACATTCGCATTTTGTCGTCCAATTAAGTATGTATTTTATTTCAGAGCATTATGACTCTATTTAAACATTGGGTATAATTAATTATTGGTCATTCTTCATTCAAGTTGCTCTAATCACAATTGAAGCGGGAAGAAAAGCCATATATGCTTCCATTTCCTTGCGGAAGCAATATTTGGAGGGGTAGGGGGAAGTAAACCGTCTCAGAAAGTTTTTTTTTTCTCCACTTTTCCTAATGACGCATGTGTGAATCATTTAGCCGGAGTGACGAAATTGTTACATATCATAATTCTTAGAAAGCGCCAATAAGTGTTGCTGCAAAACGAACCTGAATTGAGAAGTATAAATGGATGCACGTATTTAAATATCCTTGAATAATAGAGCATCGGCCTTGGCTGCTTTATTTTTATACATATTTTGAAAATAATAGCCTTTTTCGTTGTCATTAAAAATAAAATTATTTATAAAAATAAATTGCATAATTCATTAAAATGGTAATCTGTGGTAAACAATTACCGTTTTATTATTAGTCCCTTGTAAAATGACTGAAATTTAAAATATTTGAAAATTGATTCAAACAGTTTTATAACTTATTTTGTTTTATATCCGGTGTTGAACAGCCGACCTAATTTTGAGTTTACAGCTAACAATGTTTAATGTTCTTTTAATATTAAAACCTACTCAGAAGACAAGGAAATCCTGGATGAAGCATTGGGAGAAAGTAGCCATCGTGGAGGACTTTTTGATGGAAGTAACTCGCGTTTGCGTTACATGAGGAGAAATACCACGAAAAGCTTCGACGGGCAGCTAGGGGGACTCTAACCCATCATCGGACTACCATCGAGGATATTTTACGTCAGCACTGTGATCATTAGGAGTCGAATATATCGATCATTTATATAGAATGTATGAGATCAGCTGTCGCTAGTATTCGATCCTGGGTCATCTCAATGGGAGGAGAGCCACCACGGCCACCTACCGCGGCTCCTAAATTATTACTGAGAGTACCAGATTCTTCAAGATTTTAAAAGTACACCAAACAAGCTGTTCAGGGCTGATCAAAACACACTTCTCACATTAAACATAATATTAAGTACGTCATGTAGTGATGATATTGAGAAAATACAATTTTAAATTTTAGTAACTGTTTTACCGATTAATTTACTGGTGAGGAAAAGATTTAGTAACACTAAATTCTTCATTAAGGGTCCCAAGAGGAAACAGTCTGCGCAACAGCGCTGTTAGTAGAAATTTTTCCTCCTACTGGCATAGACTTTTTTTAAAAAAAAAAAAAAAAAAAAAAAAAAAAAAAAAAAAAANATCCCAGCAATTGTAATCTTTTTTTTTTTTAAATAAAGAAAAATTATATGAAAAATAATATGCTGTACTAATCTGCAGCTTCTGTTACCGTGCTAGAGAGTTGTTGCTACCTGGGGATTACGGCATAATTAGAATTCGAAAATCAAATTGGAAAACATTCAGTGATTTGAAAATGAACTCAAATGATATTCCATAATGAAACTGTATGTTTATTTTTATGTATTTTTTAAAAAAATGATAAACCTAAGAGATAAATATTTTGTTTTTAGTAGAAATTATATTTGTTTTTTAAGAATATTTGAGAAAAATAATAGTTAATTGTAATTACCTGATTCAAATTTTAACCGAGTTCTCTTCATTGATGTGCATTAAGAATTGAATCGAGTGACACTAAATTGTAATTTAAAAATGGTAGCCAGAACATCAATTTGTGTTTTTTGTTAATTCAAAATAAATTTAAAATGTTAATTCAAATTTCAAAATCTCACATACTTAATTAACGCATGTTGATAATGTATACATCAAACGAATTGCTATTTTATAGGAATGTAATAATTATAGTTCGACATTCCGACAAACTTTTATGATGGGTTTAATGCTCTCCATTCTATGTTAGAACAAAGAAAGGAAAGTGTTGACAGTTTTTTTTTTCCATTGTGGTTGGCTACAATTTCCAGCTGTGCGTGGGTACACACACTCATTGCAAGATCGTTTGCATCAGAATGGCCGTGAAGCACACACATTTTCAAGGTCACACCACCTTATTCCGAACACTTTTACCATTTACCCACATTGTTGGCCGTAGGCAGAATGATGAAGATGCGCGAGGACTCGTCAAGTCCTATACGCCTTGTTTGCAAGGACCTAATTAAGTTAATTGAAAAGAGTCGTGGAATGTTGTGGGACAAAGTAACTTCGTGTTACTGCTCTCGGTTTTTTCTTCTCTTTTTCTAAAATTAGTATTCTGAATTGGAAACGCTTCTCCTTAATATGTGAATGTTAAACTATTTTTTTAAGATATTTTATTTTGTGCTTTACTGTGAAAAATGATGGTATGATAATGAGTTATTCCGCCACCTTAATTCACCTAAGGAGAAAAAAAAAAAGTGTCCTCTCACGTATGCCTGTATATTTTGTTTGTATTGCATAGTATTCCTATATTTATAAGATTTTGATTTACTAAAAACTTCTAAATAAAGTTAAATATGTAAGTAAAAGAAATAGTTTTACACATTGACCTAAGTAATGTATTCGGCGTTATCGTTGATCTGATTGAAAGGTTTGAGCCAACATAGTAATAAGTTACGCTTTTGCTAAGATGTTGTTTTATATCAAATTGTTCCTTCGTATGGTTTCCAGATAGTTACTTTTCATGTTTCAGAAATTTTCGATTCATAATTAATTGTGCAGTGCGCAAAAAAAAAGCAAATTATGTAAAATAAAATAATAATAATAAAAATAACGAAGCACATAGCTTGTATATCTAAAATTCGTTTATACAAAGATAATTTTATGCAAAAAAACTATACTTTTCTATAATTATTGATTATTTTTTATTATTTTATTTAATAACAGTCGAAAATATTTAAAATGGTAAGGTGTAAGGTGCACAAATTTTGAGATCATTTTAAGGGATGTAATTTCATATGGCAAAATACAAAATTTAAACGAAGTAGGTCGAATAATTATAGAGAAATTGAATTTTAGATGTAGGTCTTTTTTTAAAATTGGATAAATCAGAAATTACTCGACAGCGAATGCGTTCAAATGTTTTGCCCTTGGTTGTTCGCCAAGGTTTTGCCATTTAAAATTCTTAAGTTTCTAAATAAATTAAAATTCTTAATTTTCTTAAATGATGTAATAATTTGTATTCTTTAAAATTCGAAATTTTTCGACTAACATTAAATAAAATAATTCTAAATAATAAGTAATTATTGAAATTTTTTTTTGCTAGAAATTGTCTTTGATAACGAATTTTAGAATTGTGCGCAAAAATTTTCTATTTGCTTAAAACGTTCTCGAGATATGGCGAAATACGCAAAACGTAAAATTAATATTAAGGGTTAAAAACTTTCGACCACTCTTCTGACACATTGGGACTTCCCAAATTCTGGAATCACCCCCCCCCCCTCCTACATTGAGGGTCAAAAATCCGAATTTGTCGGGGAAAAGCATGTTTTTTCAGAGAAAATATGTTTTTGTCTGATTTTGTAACTTAAAATGCACTAATTAATTGGTATATTTAAGGTTAGACTCTTCAAACATTATTATTCAAACATTCCCATATGTGAAAATCAGATCAGTAGTTCAAAAGTTAAATTGGATGTTTTTTTTCCTCACTGTTTTCTTTTTTCTTTCCTCACCGAAAATTTTTTATTGCCTGCATGAGAAAGCATGATATTCTCTCACCGAAATTACGCTTTTGAGCAATTTAAAAACGGAGCTTACTGCCCTAAGTCTTCATATTAAATTCATGCATATGAAAATTATTTTAAACAAATCTAGCTCCTTGATCATTGAATTGTACTGTTACAGCCTTTTGTTTTATTTTATGCAATCTAATTATAGTTAAATTTAAGTATTTATTGCTTGATTGTGATAATGTGATTAAATAATGTAATGTTAGCAATTTAATTCGTACTCCAAAGTGCTGCAAACTTGTTTGGGAACCATTAATTTAAATGTGCTGAGAGAGAAAAAGTCATTTGCGTACTTTTTAAAAAACCAGTAAAATTATTAGTAATGAACCTTCCTTTGATTTTGAAACACTAAATTCGAATATGTTATTTATTTTGTGGCCTCTTTAATAATATCTAGAATATTTAAAATATTAAAATAAAATGAATGTTTTACTGCCTAGCAGAAAGAAAAAATACACAGAAAATGTGTTGATAAATTAATGATATAATTTTTAAATAATTGACAAACAATTATTGATGATTAATTTTGAATTAATTTAATTCTTTCTTGTTTAGGTATGAATTCTCTCCACCGAGGCTGTTTTGATTTCATCGTCATCCCAGTGTGCTGATGGCTCCTCCAAATGTCAAAATCAAACATTTAACTAGGTAAAACAGCTTTGATATTGATATATGACAGTTTTTATGACATAAAATATATTTTTAGTGCTGCCATCTAGTATTAACTATCAATAAATTTTTTGAACATTTTCCATTTTAAAATTCTTATGTGATTATAGAAAATATATATTAACATTCGTATTGTTTGAAAACATTGTCGTGTTATGCATTAAGCACGGATTTAAGTTTGTTTAATATAGCGACTATAGATTTACAGCTTTACACTTTGGCAACTATATTCTCTATATTTTTTTAAATTTAATTTTCTGCATACCAAGTCCTTTATTTTCTTCTAGTACTTCGAAAACACTCAAATGCTGTCTGTTAGTATTTTCACTCACTGAGATCTGGGAAATTTAAAAGATTTGACATTGAATGCTGTATTGCTAAATAAGCCTAAAATGCTATTTTTCCCTGAGAACTTTTATAGGAATATCAAGTTTTAGTTTTAGAGATTTTTCTGTGTAACTCTTCCAAATTAAGTTATAAATTATGTTATTATGTTTGATATTTAGCTATATTATAGAATGTAAAGGTATTTCCGAGTGATTGCATGTTTTGATAGTAACAAAATATTTTTACCATATTGATTTTTAATTTTTTACTGTGATTAGACTATTGTACTTAAAATTTTTTTAGATGAATTAATATTAAAATATAAAAAGTATTTATTTTTTGGGATTCAAAAATAATTATTTTAAATGTATAAAAAATTTAATTATTTTTTTAAATTAAAATTTGTTGGACATTTTTAAATATTTAAACTTTAAGAATAAATGTATGCATTGTGCCTACCCACTGAATCTCATCATTGCTTACATGTAATGGACACATCACACTTTAGAAATTACTGTTGTGTTCTATGTTTACTTTACTTCTTTTATATCAGAAAACAGTTTGTTGCGAGAAAACATTAGTTTAAATGGCTATGGAAAATTTAAACGTTCTTAAACATTGTTATTGATTTTAATATAATGCAAGGTAGCTAATTTTTTTGGATTCTAGTTTATTGGAATCATTAATTTAAATCATGGTATGACTAAATTGTTTTTTTCTAAAATATATTTTTTTTTTATTAAAGTCAAATTATTTTTAAAAAAAAAAATGCATAAATTATTCAATTTTAATTTGCAAATCATTTCTGAGCTTGTTTGAATTTTTATTGATTTTTATAGTTTTTAATTTTGTTGTAGTTATTACTATGTTAATAAATTCCAATTAACAAAATTACATTATTTTTTAGTGAATAATTACAGTTTGTTTAAATGACATTTTAATCTTAAAATTCTATAGAATTTTTCAGATTTCAAATTAAGAAAAAAACATAAATTTAATGCAGTTTATGCATATATTTATACTACTGTATATAGTGTTCATCGAATCCTATGGATTGTTTGTAACTGTGTTATCCATAAAAGTAATGTTAATTCGAAACGATCTTTTAAACATGCTGTCATAATAAAAACATTAATAAAATTAAAACTTAATAAAAAAAGGAAAACATAACTGAAACAGAAAAATGTTGTTCTTAGTCCTGAAATATGACTTTGGAGTTGAGAATCACAATTTTCTATGTTATCGATTATTTGTCTTACTGTACTAGAAAAAGTGACAATAAAAGAATAAAGTCTGTTAGAAATGCTCTGTGTTAACATGTTTATTAAATCTATTAAAACTTCCCCGCAAGAAAACAAATTTTCCAAATTATACTGTGCTGAATATCCAGCCAAATATTCTGCTAAAGTGCCGAATACCGAATAATAGCTGAATATTCATTACATCTCTAGTTCTTTTGTAATTAAATAATCCATCATTCTTTTAGGAGCCCATCCAGCACTGGAGATACAAGATTCCCTAAACTAGACGAATGTGCCCACTTTCATTATGAAAATGTGGAACTTGGACCAATCAAAGTAAAATAAAAATTCTGAGTTTATTAGTGAAATAAAATAATATTGAAAAATATTTTAAATGTTTGCCATAATTCAATATAATTTCTTTTGCAATTTTTTTTTTTTGAAATTGTTTTTAAGGGCTTCTTTCTTTTAAATTTATTAAATGAAATTTGTTATTTGTTTAAACACATATTATTTGTTCAAAATTTGTTTTTATTTTTTAAGTTAATCTTTCTTATTTTTAGAAGATATAAAGTAAGTGTCTGTTGAATTTGATATTTTGCTTTTATGTTTAAAACAATATTTTTACAATACAATAAATTTTTTATACAATACATGTTATTTACTATGCATTTTTCGGGTTTAAAACAATATTTTTATAATTTTTTTTTTGTTGTACATTTGCCATTAAGAACATATAATTTTAGACTTACTGAAATATGTTTGCTTTCATTTGTCTCCACGCAACACATTTTATTTAATTATGATTTAGATTTCTGTTTTTTATTTACTGTGATTCATATCTTTTATATTAGACTTTAGGGTATTTAAAAATAACATATCTATTTGGAGCTTTTACATATATATTAATAATTTTTTTAAGAAAAATAAATATTTTATTGCCTTAAATTTTAACAATATAAAATACTATGGACTTTCCATAATTTTGAAATTTTCACTTAATTACTTAATTAAACTTAAATTTTTCAAAAGTTTTTTTTATGAAAGAATTGTTCTTTTTTTGTGTAATTATTGGTAATGATGTATATTTAATGGACAGTAATGATAACTTTTCATCAACACAAATATATTATATCAGTATTTAAGTATTTTAATAAAGCTTGTTTTATTTATATTTTGTATATTTGTCTAACTTTTTTATGTAAGTCATCAGTGCGGCACATCTTTTTGAATATATTTTTGAAACATTAGAAAAAATAATTTAATTTGGAAAACAATGAACAATTGTTTAACAATGATCAAATAAAAGAACATTTAGTTTAACTTTCTGGAAACTAAATGTTCCTTTAATTTCAAACTTCTCCATCTGCCATTTTGAATTTATTCATTTCACTGGCTTCAATCTCATTTCTCTCCTGTCATAAACCATAATTTTTAATAAATTGCTAAATATGTGTGATTGTAATAAGAGGAAAATTTCGTTTTGAAATTCATTGTTTAACATAGTATGAAATTTTTCTTGTCAAAATGTATTAGGATTTTAAAAGGCATAAAAATTATTTAATGAAAAATATTGAAATTCTTAAGATGTATTTTATTTATTTTCCTAAGCATTTCTTATTTTAGATATTTCGTGCATATTTTTATTGCATAATAAAATCATTCCATTGACTAGGTTCTTTTATGTGACAAACCATCAGATCCCGGAAAAGCCTCCTTAGTGTGCAGTTCATCCTCAAATAAAGAGAATGAAAATGACCGGCTATGTTTTCTTGTCACTGTTATTAGCAACAGCAAGAAATGGGTTGTTAGGCGCAGTTATAAGAATTTCATGTTTCTGGATACTCAACTCCATCGCTGTGTGTATGACAGAAAATATAGTTTGCTACAAGAGCTTCCTAACTTGTTTTATGACGACTCAGAAAAAGAAACTTATGAGGTGAGTTACCCATTTTCATCTGTTATTTTTGTTATCATATGGATCTTTTATTTAAGATTATTAAAGTACTTTGGAAATTTTTACATTGATCGTTTCATGTGTAGAATAACCCTGGTCGCCTTGAGGTCTAAAACGTTAATCGCCTTGAGGTCTAAAACGTTAATCGCCTTGAGGTCTAAACATAGTAGCTGGCTTCTAATGTTTTAATCTGTTCTTTAAACCTCAAAATAGGAATATTAAGGATAAGAAATAAATTGCTAATATTGGTGAAATTACTGTTTTTGCTGAGTTCTATCTTTCAATTTGAAAAATGTTGCAATCTGAAAAGCAATGTTGCACGGCAAAAGACATAAATTGCAAGCATAGGTTCCAGCTATCCTGTATTGATCTCATCAGGACCTTAAACTGTAGTTGACCTTCACACTAATTTCTCAATTGTAGTCAATACTTTATTTAAAATGCAATAGGTTTTATTAACCTAAATGAAATATAAAATTGCTTAGAATGCATGAAAAATCACTCTCACATAAAATGCAGTAACCAATGGATAATAAAATCCGAAAAGTACACTACCAAGAAAATTTGTATTCAAAATAAATTATTCTGTGCTTAAATATGCACATTATTTAGCTCATTGTATCGTATAGCTATAAATTATTTACTTACTTTACTATAAAATGTAACTGTATCAGTTATCACGAAAAGTTCTTTTGACTAAATTTCTGAGGTAGTCTGCTGCTTATGGAAACGAGTAAAACCAGCTCTTCTAATTGAAAAAATTATATGACTCTCCCAACCTACAAATTAAAACAACTTATCCCACTCCCCTAGTTAAAGTGTATATTGAATAGGAGAGAGTATATATTGAATAGGGCAGTGAGTAGTGGAAAGTATTGACTACAATTGAGAGTTGTTTGTATTTACTGTAACTGTCAGAGCACTTATCTGGAGCTTAGATAAGTTCTTGAAATAATAAGACAATAGAACTTTTAGTAATAATTCCAACAACTTACTATTTTTTTATAGGTAATATTAAATTGAAAATATTGGTTCTTTTTATGTAAAGTTAAAAGCTGTTCTCCATTTCATTATACTTTGGCCTTAAAAAAATGATCATGGCTTTTGTACAAAAATGACACATCTCTTTGGATCACCTCCCAATGAGGTAACCCAGGCTCATATCCTCAATGGTAGATGTAATATGGTTAGAATCCCTTTACCGTTGGGCTATTCTTGGGAGGTTTTTGTTGTTATCCTACTCCAAGTAAGACAAATCCCAAATGCGGGTTAGCTCATCCAAAAGTCCTCCTTGAAGGCTAGTTTGTTCCAGGCTAGTTGGGGGATCCAGGAGTTCCGTATCTTCTAGATTGGGTTCAAAATTGCAAGGCTACAGAGTTGAACATTGAAAATCATACGCTCAGAATTGGTTCGGCTGCTTATCAGCTGGTTATAAAATAAAATCTCTTATGAATTTTCTTGGGCTGTTTTTCATTAAGTCACTTATATCTGTCTGAAAGCCATATCAGTTGCATTAAGAAAACAAAAAATATGTACATCATAAATGAAGAAAAATTTTATGCCATTGTATGTTATTGTTAAATACAAGGAACATATTGGTGTTGAACATTTCCTTAATCAAAATTAATTCTATTTAACAGTTATAAATATTGTTGTTATAGTTAGTAAAGCTTGTAATGTCTTTGTAAAATATATGTTGAATTAGTTTTTTTAATTTTAGGAACAAATAAGTGCTCTTCTATCTGAATACCTTGCAAGATTTTCCCAACTCGCTGGAAGTTTAATAAATTGTGGACCTGTTTTAAATTGGTTTGAGGTAAATTTTGAGTTTTAAAATTTTTATTTATTTGCTTATTTTATGTTTATTTAAAGTTTCTAATAAATTTTCCCTCAAAATTTTTCTTACTATGATTAGTTTCGAACTTATTCATTATAATAAATGTAATTGGAATTAAAGTAATAGTAAATTTTAAATGTTATTTGAATTTTTATTAAAGCAAATGTTACGTTGTTAAGCTTTTAAATCGGGACATAGCTCGAATTGCACGTTTTCGAAAATGGACATAGCTCAAAATGCTGTTTTACAAAAATGGACATAGCTCGAAATGCACATTTATAAAAATAGCCATAGATAGTAATAAAAATGGACATAGCTTAAAATGTGCATTAAGAAAATGGACATAGCATTTGATTCTGCTTTTTAAACCAGAGTTTTGTATCGATTACAGTACTTGATTACATCTGTAAATGATTAAAGATAATTATTACTATGTAACTGACTACTTGTAATTGAAATTACAGATAATTACGATTACAAGTAATCGTGGATCTAGTGATCAGTACAAGTAATCTGATTAATGGTCATGAATAATTGCAATTACATCATAAAGCGATTACAAGTAATTATGATTTCGTGTAATCAAAATATATGATTACAGGTAGTCGTAATTACTCATAATCTTGATTAAAAGTAATCGTAATTACACATAATCTTGATTAAAAGTAGTCCAAGTATACGAATATATTATAAATTCCAATTATGATACCTGTAATAGTAGATACATTAAAAATATTTATAAGCATTGTACGCATTCAGAATGCGGAAAAAGAACCCCCCCCAAGAAAAACGGACCAATACTAGTGGATCAATCTAATACTCAATCTTAATGCTACAAGGTAGTAACGTCAAATATACTAATTTATTAGTGTAGACGATATTTTAAGTTACAAAATCAAAAAAAAAATGTACTTTCTCTGAATAAACATAAATTTTTTTGACGGATTTGGATTTCTGACTTGAATAAGTTTAGTTAGTTAAGTTTGAACTCCTTGCTATAAATTTTACTTTTTACCTCTTTCGTACATCAAAAATGCAAATTGAAAAACTTTTAAGCAAATTGAAAAACATTTGCACAAAATTTTAAAATTTGTTTGTCCAAAGATAATTTCATGCTAAAAATAAATTTCAGTAAAAATTAATTATTTTATTTAATAATAGTCGGAACACTTTTGAATCATAAGGTATACAATTCTTTACATCATTTTATGGTATTTTATTTACATGTCAATTTTTTTTTTTTTTTTGTGCGAAATCGGCCTAAATTTTTTTGAGAAAAGGAATTTTTAAAAAGTAAATATTTCAAATTTGATTTCTCAGCAACTAAACCGATTTTGCTCAAATTTTGTAACAATGTATTTATCTACATATGTTTAATATACGTATGCACATATGCAAAACACATGTATGTACGTATCTAGAATTTCAAAGAAGTCAATTATTTCAAATTCAATTTCCTAGAAACTATACGACTGATTTTGCTACAATTTTGCATTTTGTGATGTAAAATTATATTATTTAAAATGACGCAAAAAATTGTTTGCCTTACAATTCAAAATTGGTAGAATAAAAATAATTGGTAGAATAAAAATTGGTAGAATAATTGGTAAATAAAAATTGGTAGATTGGTAGAATAAAAATAATATAAATATGAAGCATTTAAAACATAAACTGCCTATGTTTACCCCCTGATAATTTAGCTATGTCTCAATGTAACATATAATGTAACATATAGAGCATAATTTGTGCATTTTTCAATAAAAATGTATTATTTTTCAGTTAGTCAATATTTTTACTGTTTGTTAGATTTTAATTTTCAATCCTTAAAATTATTTCAGCTTGACAACAGAGGGAATAGATTGATTGTTACTGATGAAGTTGCTATAAACACTCCAGCTGTTGCAGCTTCATATGTTGTTGTGCCTTATTCTGCTCAAGCAACTGATGAAATATCTTTCGATGTAAGTTTTCATAATTTTTACTATTCTTTTTTAATTTGTTATCAAAGTTGTGTTTTCCAATACCATTATTATTTTTTTCCTATTGTTCCCATTTCTTTTTCTTCACATTTTATAAAAGCTTCTTAAAATCTAAAATTGTGGTATATATTTAAAGATTTTTTTTGCTCACTGCATTATGCAGTCGATTGCTGTTTGTTTATTAAGCAAATATACTGCAAGCTTTAAACAATATTTATTTTAAATAAACTGTGAAAATTTGTTCTTTTACGTTATGTATCATTTATTTCTACGTATTGAACAAACATAAGTACCATATTTTCTCATGCTGATAAGTTTTTAATGATCTGAAAATTGCTTTTGGTTGTCATATAAAAAGTGTTTAAATAAAGCTAATTTTTGTTTTCTGTAATAATAGTGCTTACAGAAAATGCTCTGATATATCCGAATGCACAATGTAAAGAGGAACAATATTTAGAAAGGGTGTTGTAAAATTTTTTTAAGCTATGTCATCAAAAAATACCAATTTTATTTTGAAAAAAATAAATTGATTATTTAGTCCAATTTATTTAAAAAAATGTATTTATTTAAAAAATAAAAACAATCACTAGCTCTAGCACTATTCAGAATTCTAGCACTAACTAGAATTTTAAAATCTCTTTCTCTTCACCTCCATACTTTAAACACCAAACATTATAAGCAATTAGAAATTACTGACAATAAGAATTTTCATTTTGTTATTCTGCCGTTGCATCTCTTGTGGGCGAAAACAATACCCCAATCCCATGATTTGGAATGCGTTTTTCATTTTCTTTAATGCTAGGAAAAATACAGGAAGTAATTTAAATACAGAAGTATGGTTTATTAATTATTTTATCAAGTGCTGTCAGGTTTCTGAGAAAGAATTTTTCATTGTTAAATTGATTGGGGAAAAATTAGTGCCTTTATAAGATGTTTGTTAGGCGCAGTGGCTGATTGGTAGCGCTTTGCACTCCCATGCCACAGGTCTTGGATTCGATCCTTGGGCCGGGCAAGGTTTACTCATCCTTTCAGTGGGCTGATAAATGAGTACCAAGCATGCTTGGAAACTAAACACTGGGGGTTTTGCGTTTGGCTTACCACCTAACCGGAACGTCTACCCCTGCACCCCAGAGCCCAAGTTCAAGAAAACTGAGATGGGCACAGTAGACCTTGGCTCTCTATGGGCTGTTGTGCCACTGAGTTTAGTTTTTTTTATAAGATGTTTTTTGGAAGAAAGGGTCGCTTTGAAGATGGGGTCTCTTATTGCAGCTCTTCTGTCTTGTATTTTTTATTGGTTTTAAATTAGCAGATGATATTATTTTTGTTAATTTTTTTAGTTTTCATTTATTTTTCTCACATAAAGCTATTCTTTATAAAATGCTTTATAATGTTTCCTTTTAAAGAAATTTTTCTCTTTGCTGTAAGTAGTCCTTGGTAATTGCCTTTGTTTTATAATTGTGAGTTTGTTTAATTTGTTGTCTGTTGAAAGATACTATTTTTTGAATCAACTAGTTTTTTCTTGTTTTTGATTAGTTATTCCAATTATTGCTTTGTTTCTTGGTAGAAACATACATTGTAATATTTTTATTAATCCAATTTTTCCCCTTGTAAATTATTTTATTAAAGAAAAACATGAATATTCATTTTCAATTATATAACTCTTTATAGGGTGTTTTGTTAATTTTATAACGTAATAAATTTGTAATTCTTTTTAATAAACAATAATAAAATAAATGTTTTTTGTATTTTTGATTTGTTTAATTGTTATTAGGAAATTTAATTTTGGAAAATTTTGTTTCCTCTTTTGCATGATATAACATAATAATGGCCATTTTTAATGCTATTTCTTTTTATTTCTTTTAAGAAAGCCAGATTTTGATATATACTTTTTCTTTTAGTATTTTTAAGCCATTATTGGGCTCGTTCTTTAAGTATTGTTAACTTTTATTGTTTAACTATTGTAAAACTGTTTTTTAGCTAAAACTGTTTTTAAGTTTCTTGTATAATAACAAGAAACATGAATTTGTCAAATGAAAAATCTATGTGTATTTTAATAACAAATATATTTTTGTAGCACATGCATAAATAAAATTTTATGTTAAGTATCATAATTATGTTAAATCATATCAGTAAATTATTATATATATTAAATTAAATTCACCATAATTATATAAAATTCATTGTGGTAAATATTTTATTCATGACTAAAAGTTAAAATGACTCTGCATGTAAATGAAATTAACTGTAGGACAATAAAAACTCATTTAAAAAAGACGCATTTAAAGATTTGCTTTTTAAAAAAGGAAGGAAATTAGGTATTATGCATTGTTTTAGTCAGTTTAATTAGCTTATCTGTTTTGTTATATTATTTAATCACAGCCTATAATCTACTACATTTAAAGAAGTTTTAAACTTGTTTCCTAAAATTTTTTTAATGTTCTACATCAATATCCCATCTGCAAACAATCAAATCAAGCATATCGTTGTTTTTTGAGCTTAGAAAAACTATATCATATAATTTTCGCAGATATATCTATATACATATAAATACTCTTATATTTAATTAAAAAATTATTTTAATTGTATGTTATAAAAAAATTATCAAATAGTTGTTTGATTGTTTTCTATCATACAGTTTAATTTTTAATTTTTTTTCAACATTTTAACATTTAACATTGTTTTAAATTTTTTTTTGCATAAACTTTTCCCCCACAGTTCTTTTTATTACTTATCCCCAAAAATTTGCCTTGTAATAATAGTTTCAAATAGTTATTTTGTTTGTTATACGAATTGTAATCATAAAAGGTTAAAATACTTGCTCAATTAATGCAAAATACTCTAATTGCACAAACTTAAAATAATATTGTTTTAAATCTATCTAAAGTATGTCTCAAAAATAAGGTATAAAATATAGTATTTTCTAATGAAAAAATTATTTTACTGTAATAGTAATTTATTAATAAGGATTATATAATATGAAATATAGTAATTTTATTATGAAAGTTTTAATGTAAGAAATAATAAAATTATAAGAACATTTACATGCCTTTTCCAATATTTTTTTTTTTTTAACCTGGGTTAGCCAACACACCACCAGGATCAGATTGTGAGTGTTAGGCCCTAAACGTCACCTAAATAAGGGCTCATTGAAAGAATAAATTTTTTTCAAATTCACTGAAATGCTAAAATAATATTGATTTCGTTAATTAACAGCTTGATTCACATGATTTATAAAATTTTTTTACTTGCCAAATATATATTTTATTTTCAAATACTCTCCTTTTTAATTGACCAAGTAAATGTCCTAATTTTAGAAATCTCTGAGCGTATTGCATCAAATTTTATAATTGCTTCAGTTGTTCCCTAGAAATGGTATCTTTAAAATAAATTACAGTGAACAAGTTAATACAGAAATATTTTTAAAAAAAATATTTTTTTTAAAAATCCATGATAGCTTAAATAGTTTTAAATATTTAACTATTTTCTTAACCATTAAATTAACATAAATTTAAAAATCATGATGTGTTTGGTTTGTAATTAAACTTAATCTCTAAACTTCTTGAAATTAAAATGGTTTCTGAGATATGTATGCTTTAGTGGTTTTAAAACAAAAAAATGCTGATAATTTCTAATGATTTCCTCGCCGCAACACGGATAAGAATTGGTTCGTTTTTGTTATGTCCATTATCCATATTTATTTTGATTGTACATATTTACTTTCACTCCATTTGACTAATACAATAATAATGGTATGTTCACGTTTGTGAAGTGAACTACAGTTATGGAAATTACAATCTTCAGATCTGTTAGAGTTTGTTTTTGACTGTTTGTTGCTTAATAAAGTCTATGGAATTTAATTTAACGTTATTTGAAATTATAGTTGATTCAGCCCAGGATTATTTTTCCCTTTGTGTAAGCATGGTGTTTAGTTCATATACGAGGGCTGTCTAAAAAGTATCCGACCTTTGGCCAGAAAAAATATTTCAAATATCTGACGGAGTTGGGACCCTAATCCCCTTCAAAGTAGGCTCCTTGTGCTTCCACACACTTAGCCCACCGATCCTTCCACTGCTGGAAACACCTCTGGAAGTTTTCTTTTGGAATGGTGTTCAACACCGTCGTCGCGTTCCGCATTATCTCTTCTTTACTCTCAAAACGGGATCCTTTCAGCGGCGTCTTCAATTTTGGAAACAACCAGAAGTCGCAAGGAGCCAGGTCTGAAGAGTAGGGAGGTTGGCGAATGGTTGTAATTCCATGTTTGGCTAAGAAAGTGTGGATCAATTGGGATGAATGTGCAGGGGCGTTGCATGTTGCATGATGCAAGCGCCAGTTGTTCGCCGTCCACAAGTCTGGTCTTTTGCCTCGAACTGCCTCACGAAGTCGCCGGAGAACATCTTGATAGTACTCCTTTGTCACTGTTTGTCCTTAACGTGCGTATTCGTGATGCACAATTCCACGGACATCAAAGAGAACAGTCAGCATCCCCTTGATTTTGCTTCGCACCTGCCGCGCTTTCTTCGGCTTTGGAGAATCGGGATGCTTCCATTGCGACGACTGTTTTTTTGTTTCTAGGTCGCACCCGTACACCCATGACTCATCTCCAGTTTTCACGGTATTCAGAAACCCAGGATCAGAGTTGGCGGTGTCCAGAAGGTCCTGTGCAACGTCAAAACGGAGGTCTTTTTGTTCCGGGGACAACAACTTGGGTACGAATTTCGCAGCTACTCGGTTCATGTTCAAATTTTCACGCAAAATTGCATGTGCAGAATCACTACTCACTCCAACCTCTTCTGCAATCTCCCGCACTGTCAAACGACGATCTGCCATCATCAAATTTCGCAACCTCTCATCATTAGCTGCACTCCGAGCTGTTTAGGGCCTGCCACAACGCTATTCACTCTCCGCTGATGTGCGGTCCTCTTTGAATCGGATGAACCACTCCTTAATTTGTGGTACACCCATCGTTTCTTCTCCAAACACCT